TGTGAGTGTGTTATGTGTGTGTGTATACACATATGTACAGCTTTCAGTTTTTGAATGTGTAGCAGCCATGTCTATTTGTATAAACTGTCTGCTGTTTCAGAACCCAAGCTACTATCTGCTTATGTGGTTAGGGATTAGGGGTTGTCCTTTGTGTCTAGATAACAAAACTTATCAGGGAAACTCAATAATACATTGTGACCCACTAGTAATGTTCACATGCTGTGATGCCCCAGTATCTGTAACTGGAAATTGTAAACTTTATGATGTGTACTTGGAGCATTTAAATGCTGTGTTGAACTTCTGTGGAAATAATTCTGCATGGGACTTCAACTTTTTATAAAAAACAATTCTTCCATCCAATTTCATTTTATGAATACTAAGAGTGTATGGGGGTACACCAAAAAGTTAAGTTTTCATTTTATACTGAATGTCTTTTTCTACAGTTGAGGTATTATTAATGTAAGCAGAGAACTTCTTGGTTCATGACTGCTTCCTGTTTGTTTTAGACTCTTCATCTTCATGCATTAATTGCTTAGTGAACAATAGTGTAACAGTCTTTCCTCTTTGGTGCTATGCTATGAAAGATTGAAAATTGATTCAACACAGACAGTAACGTCTACAAATTCCAGAGTATGGTTGACAATACTTTGTTGTCTATTGGAAGGATAGTTATTCTGACTTATTTTACTCTAGTTAGTGCTATTGATTTTAAGTATCTAGAATTTTCTATTTCATTAAGAATTAAGTCATTTTTTGGCTTGAATTCACAGAAGCATTGAATAACACTACGATTCAATGGCATGTGTTAATATTCTCTCTGTAGGAAAAAATGTGAAAACCCATGATACTAAATCAGTTTCTTAGAGCTAGTGCAGTGGCACATGCATGCAGGCCTCGCTACTTAGAAGCTGAGGCAGGAGGATCCTTTGAGAGAAGATTTCTTTAGCCCAGGAATTTGAGGCTAGCCTGGGCTTTGTAAGGAGACCCTTTAAAACACTTACTGTGTTCCAGGTGAGGTGCCATATACACTGTTCACAACGTCCTTCATTGACTGTGGAGCACATGGAACTGGCTCCAGCTTAGTGTGTTAGTTAGCAGTTGAGATGACGGACACATTGTCCCTTGGTGTCCTTTGTTGACTGGGGTTTTCTTATGTAGTTGAAAGGTCTGTTATTTTGCACATTTACATTCTAGATTGAGAACATAGCTTCAGAAGTAAGAGTTCCTCAAAGCACAGACACTTGTAAGTTAACACCCCGCATTGATCATCACTAAAGTGCATTATCTTTCTAGAGGCTTGGCTAGGCACCCTTCCATTTAGTGTTAGGTTTGTTGGAGTTGCAGTGCTCTGTACAATCCAGTTGAGGGCAGCTGTTGACCGACTCAAGTAAGAGTTGAGAATGCTACCACGTGGTGCTTCTGAAACTGTAGTTTCTGATACACAGCAGTGTTCATTTTCTCTCCTGGGTTTTTCTGGTATCAAACAATCATGGGAATATGAAAAGTCTAGTTTTCCTTCCTAATTGTTTAGTTCTTTAGGAACCAAGGGAGGAAATTTGATGTTCATTTGAAGTTTTTCACAGTTCCAGTTCCTTTAAACTCCAAGTCTTCCCGCCTCCATCAGACTTTAAGATTGCATGATGGGAGGGATCTGGGGCTCCAGATCTTAACGTGCACACGTGTAAAGGCGTGGCTTTGCCGGGCTCTGGGGCCTTTAGTTGTAAATGTGAGTGCAGACGATGTTTGCTGTGCTGCTATTGAATTAACCAGTGCTTTAAGTAAAAGTAAAATCACAACTGACCTGCTTGATATGTTTTTTATGCAGGATGATTGCTAAACTTACAGAATAAACTGCTCTCTATTTTTAGGATTGAAGTGTCATTTAGTTTAAATGATGTCTTCTGTGTTGTTCAAAAAGAAATTAGAAGGGCTAATTGTTTTCAGAGATTATCACTGAAACAAATTGTTTTGAAAATAAAGATCTTAGTTTGTATAAAATTGTAATATTAGCAAAATAAGTAGTGATTCTATCTGGGGATACATTAGCAAAAGGGATGTTCTAAGGAGACAGACAAAATATGAGTGAGGGTTATATAATATGAACAGAAATACCAGTCTTACTCGAGAGAGTAAAGTGAGTATCAGAGTTAATGCTAAGACTGGGAGATTGTAGCTTTTTTTTTTCTTTCTGAGGGTCTTGAGAAGCTGCTGGGACCATAGACATGGTGGTCTAAGTTATCTGTTTTAACTTTCCTCCAACCTGACAGTTCATAGATGTCCAGTGTCCCTGTGCTGTCTTTTCTCTGTCCTGACTCTGGATCTTTGTTGGGGATTGATGCCAAGCACACACTACCATGTGTTTCTTAGAGCTTGTCCTTGTTGAGAGAGAGAGAGAGAGAGAGAGAGAGAGAGAGAGAGAGAGAGAGAGAGAGAG